GAAAGAGTGAGGAAAATATGCTGTCGTCAGATACAGATGAAGACATCAAAAAGGACGAAGCCAACTATTACCAAACTCCCAGCAATGTTTTAGCAAAGGTAGTTTATCAGTTGTGAGTTCTGCTGGTTTGTTAATAGCTCCAAGGAGACAGGAGACATTTAATGAGCCAAAAAGGAACTGGTATGAGGAACCACTAGTACCTTGCAAAAGGAATACGTAGATAAAGCAGTAGGTAATAGAGCTTTCATTTGTACAAGAAAAAATACACTAGACTCATTCAAAGGATCTTTCTGGTAGAAAGTGGCATTTTGACAAAAACATTGCTGATTTTGTTGAAATTCCCCAAATTGACTGTTTCATTGTAAATGGCTTTTGCCTGTTGTATCGCAGTGAACAGTGAAGTGAAAACTTCATTTAGAAAATGTAGCTGTATATTATTTTTATGTATTTTAAAATGTAAATCTATTGAAGCATCAGTAAGCTGCATAAAACCAATCAGGAACTTTAAAACACTGTAAAACATTTTGGTATCCACATTTCAGTGTGAAAGAAGGGAACAGGAGGAATCATACTGATTATTTTAAACAAATTTTGGCACCTACTTTGGGAGGCTGATTTCTCTAGGCTTCCTGTATAGTGGTCAGGAGAAGCTAAGTCAGGCTTCTGCAGAAGTCACAGCCTCTCTCCAAAGACTGTACAGCTAACTGAAGGACATTAGCAACATCATTTTGTCATATAATCAAAGGGCTTTAAGTTATGCACACCCTAAATACGAGACTTTTTTCAAACTGCTTGAATTAAAACATAAGAAAGCTTTTGTGATACTATTTTCGAATATAGCTGGTTACGTCCCAGACTGAAAGGAAAGCAAATGGTTCTGTCAAAGATACCAAATAACGTTAACTTGTAAGTTTCAACCACCTTTCTAACTCGTGGTTTCTGGGAAGTTAGTTATTTGGGGAAAGCCAAGCTGTATTAGCTGATGTGTTTAAACAGCACAAGCACTGAACAAAATAAGGAAATCAAGAAGATGATATTTTTCTGTAGGTAGGGCAAGGATATTTACGTCTTATATTGTTATGTTTCCAACAGTGTACTACTGAAGTATCAAAGTCTGACCATACAGCTGAGTCTGATGTCTCTGTGCAAGAGAAGCCTGTGCAGAAGAACCCAGTAAATGAGAACATTTATATGTCAATGAAATCACTGTAAGTAAAAACTTCATAAAGGTTTGCAAATTAAAAGTGACATAGTGGTACAGATAGAGCTGTCGTCTGTGGTATTTACTTAGCAACATCTAGAGGCTGCATCTTGTTTGAATGAGTCCTCCTTTGATCTTGGTTCAGAAAGTTCAGAACTGATGGAAATACCAGAGTGAAATTCAAACTCATCAAAGTGAATTTTAAACTCACGTTGCAAACTCATGTGTTTAGACAGGCTCTGACTATAGTATGCAGCACTTTTTGTTGACTCACACTTTCTAGGTTTTCATGACATAACAGCCCCCCACTTTACTCAGATACTGCAGCCAAGCTCCAGCAACCTTTCAGACTGGTGCTCTTCAGAGCAGGCAGCATTATCTAGTGGTTAAAGGAGAAGATTAGACACGGGGCATTAGCTCCCATCTTTTCCAGTAAGAAGTTACGTGATCCTGAGTAGGTCATCTCCTTCCTTCCATTTTCCCATCCAAAGAATGGGTCTGATGCTGTGTACTTTGAAGGTACAGTGTTTGGCATGACACAAAGAAAGACCTGAACTTTGTAGGACAGTTGTAGTGCCACATGGAAACTTTACAACCTCCATATATAGCACAGTATACTGAAAAGAAGTGTGCCTACACGGTATAAGCGTACCTCCTGAGGCAGAGGACCGGTCCTTATCTGTTAGCTATGGCCTGCCAGCTACAGACAGTCAGGTCTTATCCAACATAGTAGGAGGCAACTGGAAATGCAGACCCACAAAACAGATTATTCCAATAGACTTATTCAAGTTCATCTGTGCTTTTGGGAGCCCCTGGAGGGAATTACTGTAACAACCTCACAAGCCTATGCCATCTGAGTTAAAATGTACCAAGAGCAGCTTTTGCTACTAACCCCGGTCTTGTTTGTGGAATGGAGGGGAGTTGGCTCCAGGTATTATATGGCTCATCAAATAAAAAGCATTCAAGCACATCTGAGTTATTGTATCTCCCAGGGGACAACATTACATCCTTGCAGAAGCCAGTACAGCCAAAGCCAACAATCTGTACTTAGCTTCTTTGTCAAGGCATGTTGTTAGCTGGAATGTTTTCAGGCTTAATAAATAGTCTTTAAATACTGAAAAGGTTTATTTGGGGATTTATGGTCCGTTTTTAGAAGGACTGTTTATTTTACTTAGCTGTAATTTTGTCCACTGGATATTCTACAAGAACTTGTTATTCTTTGTTTCACCGACGGCTATTTGATCCAGCTACAAACACAGCACGAGTACCTGTAATGGCCAAACCAGTTCATTATTTTATCACCATTTTTCTTCAGTAGGTTGCTGGATGAGAGTTGCCAGTTCACATGCAGACGTGATGGGCTCCCGTCTCCTCCCAAATGCCAAGACAACGGTGCATGTCCAAGAGACTTGGAAGCAAATAGAGACCTAAAACTCCCAGAAAGCAGCACCAGCCAGCAGCCAACCCTCCAGAGAAGGCAAAATTCATTACCGCTTTCAGTGGTTCAATTGTCTATACTGCTCAGGTAAGTGTCCTCTCCATTTCTTATTGCAGAGAAGACAGATGTGTCTTCTTTATGGGTTCCAGTTGAGGTACAGGTAGAGCATGCCCGATCTCTGATGTTTTCTCTCACAGTCAAGTTAAAGATGAGACCCAGCTGCAGAAGTTGGATATTTTTGTCCCCCTGGCTGATATTAAGAGTTACCTAAAACTTACCGAAGCAGCAGGGCAAATATGGTAAGTTCTGGATGTCTTGTAGTGGTGCTTGTCAGATGTGAACGAGACACAATCAACGTAGGTACAGAAGCGTACAACTGTACACGTCCATGTACAGTTTTGGCAGTGCAGAACAGGGCAGGATCAGTGTGTGCTGGAACTTCAATGATTCCTTTCTGCTCTTTCTGACTCTTCGTGTACTTGAGTTTCTGTTTCAACTACTGTTGAAAAGGGCTATATAGAATCAAGATACCTTACCATGCTGTGTAATAATTTGCAATGAAGTCCCACCCCAAAAGCAAATCTTCTAATGCTGATGTGAAATCACGTAGTCACTGCTAGCCAGTTTTACCTTTGATTTGGTGAACCATAATGATGGTGTGTCTCAGAGATATAGTGAGGCAATATATCATGTGATAGGGTAAATAGGGCCTTTCAACCGAAAATCTTACAGGCTTTAGTATAGGTGGCTAATAACCCTTTGTTATGGATGATAAAGACAAAAATTAAGAATCACATACAAGGGATAGACTTCAAGTCCCGTTTATTTGATTTCTGTACCCCCTTGTACACTAAAGTCTTAGGAAGAAAAAGGGAATTTCCGGAAAGAGGTGATAGACCTTTGGAAAGCCATAAAACCTATCTGTCACTGGAAAGGGTGACAACATGGAACTTAGTGGCACAGAGGGAACCATTTCCAAACCTAGTAAATTCAGTGATTCACTCTCTTTCATCTAATCCTTTGTTATCTTTTTTTCCCTTTAATCTATTAGCCTGTGCTCCTAATATTATAGACCTACATCACATCATTTTGTCATTTAAGCAGTAGCACCTGCAAAGCACTCTGAGACTCTCTGGTTAAGCGTGAGCTGTAAGTGAAAACTTAACATAAACGATGTTACAGAAATCAAGCTGACTTGAGTTGGATGCCAGCATAAAATTATCTCCAAATTAATCCCAGCACTGTTTCAGTGCTGGGAATGAGCGCTAGGCAGAGATTTTCACAAGTAGGTGTTATGGGCTAGAGCACATAAATTTGCTTATTAGCCCAGTTGGAAATTAGTGTTCTCCCTAGGCTTTCAATATCAATAACAAGGATGAAGCAGTGGGAGCAGAAAAAAATGTTCAGTGCATACTCCTGTTCTGCCTGTTGATCTTTCAGTGCCTCACATCACTGAGACTGCCTTTTGCTGTTGCTCTCATGTTCACATTAATCAGGTGCACTGTGTGCACAGCAAGTCACTATGTTTCAGCCACTGTCAGCAAGAAGAAAAAATACCATTGTAAAAGGGACTGGAAGTGGGCTCCCACCTCAACAATTGGATCTACATTGAGATTTACACATCTTTATCAGTGGAAATTCCTATTGAAAGAATTTGGGGCTTGTTCTGGGAGATAACAGAGCACTAGGTCTATCAGGTCAGCTAATCCTAAATAGCTTTTCATTAAGGAGAGTCTATGAGAGACCAGCAGGAAAGAGATACTGGAATTTCCATAAGGGTCCTGTCAGGACAGCATTGGATCTCTGATCCTTGCAGCTATGTTACAGATAAAACACATGATAATAAGTTTTAATTTCATTCTTTTGGGGTGACTTCAGAAATCATCTCAGTCAAACATTGAACTAAAACATCTGCAGCGGGTCTGGCCCACTGCTTTTGGACTGGAATCCCCAACTTTCACCAGTGACCTTGCTAGCACCAGTCTTCTTAACGTGCTGCAATGTCAGTGTCACATGCACTTGTAGGAGGACTCAGGATGGATGAAGCAGCTTGGCTTCAGCTGGAACCAAATCAAAAAGGTGCAAAGTCATTCAGCATGTGTGCTGTTTCTAGAGGGCAGTACCATAAATGCAATCCTGTTCAGCCATTGCCATTCTGTTCGCAGTAACTTGATATCCCGTATGCTTCCCTTACTGTCTGTCCTCCAAATACCCTAGCGTCTCACAATGGAATGGTCCTCACCAACTGGGATGTTTGTTTAACCATGGAGACCACATAGTGGCTGTGAATGATTTGCAACCCCAGGATGTGGAGGAGGCTTACTTCTTCATCAGCAGGTCCACAAAAAAGGAGGTAAGCTTGACAAACCTGAAGGTGATAGTCAAATGAATCGAGCCAAATGAGAAAGCAAGGTGCTTCCTGCATTTCAGGTGGCTTCATTCGAACCAGTTTACTCTGTTTTGAGTTTGGCATGAATAACTTCAGTACCAAATAGCTCCTCAGCATCATTCTGGTGTAGCATCCCTTATTCCCACGTTATTTAGGGAATGCAAGGTCATCACTGCTGTGTTTAAGGACTTGATCTCAAAGAGTCTGAGCAACCCCAAGAGATAGTACTGCGCAACCATAAATTAGAATTACTTGGTATTTTTTGCTAAGGCCCACGAATTGCAAACTTTGGGAAATAAACAGTTGCCTCCAGTGGATGTGTACTTGCTTATCGTGGTTTTAGGTATTGAGGCCAGAGCCCTAGACACCTGCCTCCTAATTGGTTATCAAGCACTACACATCTCCTTGTGTGATACTGCTTTTTTTGAAGAGTGCGGGAGATTTCTGAGTGGTTCCTTAATGCCACTGTGACCTGCTATGTGTTGATACCTATGTTTCTCTCAGATGGACTCATATTTCAGTATCCAGGTCCTCTGACCCATACCTGAACACATTCGTGTTTGAGTTTTGTTGAGAAACTTGAAGTCATCAGATGCTGTTGCAATCTAAAGAAAAGAAAGGCAGTCTCAGCAAGAAAAAAAACCAACCTAATCTCTCTTAAGAGGGTATTTTTATTTAGCTAGTTAAAATACAAGTCAGATGGTAGAACACATGCTGATCAGATATAACAAGCTATGAAAGTTTCTCATATTTATTTTCTTTTTTAAGGTGAAACTTACCGTATGTAGGATCCCACATTCAGGTATCTTCCATGTTAAAGGCTGTTCATGTTCCTGAAAAAAGACCTCAATGATTAAGTAAGTGCCAAAGTTCAAGGGAAAATATCAGGGAGAATAATGTGATATATAGTGTATGGAGGTAATCTTTATCTTCTAGAGCTGCCAGATATCTTTTGTTGCTAAAGTACAAAGAACAGAGAACATGGATTTCATTTTCATTGTATGTCCTAATAACTTGTTTTGCTGACATGAATGGCATGTGTTTGGCTTGTATTTCATGTTGGCGTGTATTTCAGTTACATGAAAAAGACTGCAGGTCAAATCATTTATGAAAAATTTGCATTGTATATACTCTGTACTTCAGTACAAAGTACTGGTTCACACCTCTACTCGCCTCTTTACACTGGATTACGTTATACTGAGCTCCTAATCAGTTAGGGGTGCGGAAACAACTTACATTGGGAACAAAGCCATGTTTTCCCTTGTTTCCCCTTAGCTACAGAAAGGCAAAGGCAAAGGCAAGCTGAGTGTTGGAAGGAAGGCTGGAAAATAAAGTGTTGTGTAGTGCTTCGGTGGGGCGTCCTTTTGTGTGATGGCCCTCTAACGTTACAACCACAAAAATACATTCAAGGGATGACAGGTAAAAGATCTGGTTGGAGAAAAGGAATGTGTCTGGACCACCTTTGGTTTCACTGGCAGCCAAAATAAGCCCTAAGTAAAGAATGAATGAATGGGTTTGTGAGAAAGGAGGGCTGCCCTGCTCTGTGAAAGTGTTACCGGTAAAGACAGCTGGGAAAACCAGAGACAGAAATTATGTATACGAGGGCATGTTCCCCCAGCCCAATGCAAACAGAGTTCACTGAAAGAGTTTTGATGCTACCAAGTACTAAAACAGGGATGTCCCCGGTATCACAGCATTTCCAGAGCAAGTGCTCATTTGTTTCCTGAACAAGGACATTTCCTGTAAATATGTATTTGTGAATATATCTTGTTTCCATTGCTATCATAGAAACATGACTGATTTTCAGCTACTATCACACCAAAAGGTGCTGGTGCTTGCTATGGGACTGCCTGCAGGGGTGCCTTTACTGGATGCCAAAAGGGAGCTTTGTCCTGTGCTACAGTGACCTCTGTTGCTTACAGAAACATGGTGTGATATGGCATGTATGCAGAACACATACCTATTCTCTATATGGATATGTACACATTTGTATATGTGTGTTTGTGTGCGGGTATATTTACATACATATATATTGCTGTAAGAGAGATCGTATTAATATACAGTGATGTGGCAACAAAACGAATTGCTGGTTTTGAGTACAGATAATTTTATCTTGCCACATACAACCAAAATAACTACTGGGTTTAGCAGGCATAGGATTATTGATATTAAGAGATTTATATAAGCTTTGATTAAGGTGGATTTGGCCCAAATGAGGTATTTGTCCAGCTTCCAATTGAATTAGGCCAAATCAGTTACTACAGTAAGAGACTACACTCACTAAAATCAGCGTTGGTGCCACTTACCCCAGGAGTAAATTTGTATGTGCTTTGTATACTTCCTTTAAAATCCAGGCTGGGCTTTTAAAAAAATCAATATAAAATTTTATTTAGACAAAGATGAAAACACCATCAGTAACTCAAAGCGAACAAACACAAATATTTGTACAATCTATTCAGACTCAGCTCCTATTCAAAAAATTAATTTCCAGGCCGAGTGTTTCCACAGCCTGTCTCTTCTGCTTTTGAGATAAGAGTGTTTGGGCCGTGCATATTTCTCAAGGTGGGAAAGGATCACATTTTGATATTTCTTTTTCAGTTCAGTTCAGAGACCTTTTTGTGCTGAATTCCGCATGAAGACAGAGGGAAACCCCAGTTCTGGAACTACAGAGGCTGAGAACGGAAAAAAAAGACACTCCTTGGGAGCTCTCCTCCAAAGCTGCTATGGGATTCCTTTGCTCTGCACTGCCTCTTCGAGCACCACAAATCGGTTTCTGCCTAAGGAGCCTCTGAAGGATGGGGTGGCTGACCATCACCATACAAGGCTTCTTCCAGCTCTCTAACTCTGTCAGCCTGCTAGGACAGTCCTCTAGGCCTGAATCCTAAAATCACAGATCATCTAATTCAAGAATTTCCACTGAGGATGTCATCCTTGACCTTTGCTGCCCAAGGTTTGCCTAAGCTCTTCTTCGGAACTTTAGAAAAGGGAAGTCCAAACCATCCTGTGTTGTTCCAAGACTCATCTCTCTGTATAATTAGGAGAGCTTTTTCTTATATTTATCCTAGACGGCCCTTTTAGAAACTGAACCTGATTTTTTTTTTGCCCTCTTATCAGTGGGCACAGGGAATGCTTGATTTCCACTGCCTCCAGAGAAATCTTCATTCTGGAAGGTGTTTTTTCTGCCTGTTGTCCCTTCTCTCTTTTTTTTTTTTTTTATTTAAAGCAAACATCCTGCATTCTTTCAACATTTTTTCAAACATTTCCTGCAAGTGGTCACATGTCACTGAACTGTGAGACAAATACCTTGTTTTCCAGTTATGGGTGAACAAAAGAGGTGAGACAGCCGTAAAGCAATTTCCTGGAACTTCATAGAGAACCATTTCCAAAAAGAGGTGAACTACTGAAGGAGCTGTGAACCGTAGGTGGTGGTGGGAGGAGAGTCACCACCGTGGAACCTGCACACGGCATTGCTGCTGAAGCAGATGTTGCGCAAGGTGTGCTGCACCTCTCGGCCATGGAAGAATGTTACTTTCGGACAAAAATAAGATTTGGGAAGATATAGCCTGCACGGGATGATTCCAGAATATTTCAGAAAACAGTTACTGATGTGTTACCCCGTAACTGATCATTATGTCAGTTTACACAATGGTAAATGCAGATAATTAATGTCACATGTTGGCTGATTCATAACACTTAGACAAATACAATATGGAATTGACATCGGTACAGTAAATTCTGGTAGGGTGTGTGAAGTTGTCTGCCCACATATGATTAATAAATGTGTTAACACTTTACAACACATTGTATTCTGTGAATGCCTACTTTCTCCTGACACAGCCCCTCCTCATTCTCCAAAGACTACCTGTAACTTCCCAGTAACCTGCAGCTGAGTCACCAAACAGCCCTTTGAAAAAAAGCCACCCTTAAAAAAAAAATCAACCTCATTCTGTAACTTTTTTCCCAATGTGAAAATTTTACCTTTCTTCAAATGAGCAAATTCAGCTAAATCCCTGGGCTGCTTCCAGAAGCAACAGCAAAGGGAAATGCCTCCGTGCATGGTGTTACCCAGTGCTCTCTTTTAGACCTGAAGGGAATGTCTTTAAACCCATGATGTCTGAGGGGTAACTGGTAATTTTTTAGTTCATCTATTGGCATTTCAAATGTGTCAGGTAAGCACACACTCTGAAAGAAACAGGTGATATAGGAGCTTCTTGGTGCAGCATGCTCTGTGGTGTCAAAATCTTTTCTTAGCTGATCTCTAGCTAAGTTTTGGGTGACGGAGGGTTCCTGACACAGGCTTAAATTGACATGAGCTGAAATTCAGTGACTCCGGAGACTAGCATATCTATGTAAAACACAGCTGCAGATCCTGAAACCTTCTTGCAACACTGACCCCATGAAGTAACCTGCTTGGACGCAGGGGCCAGTGCCGGCTGCAGCACACGCCGCTTTGAATGGCTCAGCATCTATAAACTGGGTGTACAGGAAACAAAACCCAACTGGCTGCAACACAGATCACCTGATCAGCTAACGATTAGCATGCTCCTCTCTCCTAACTATTTTATTTCCTGTCATTGAATAAAGCCAGTGCCTTTAGGTTGTTTCCCTCGTTGTTAATTCACGACACATTCCCATGCTGCACTCGCTCATTAGTGGCTGCTAATTTTCCCCCCCTGAATTCCCAAATATGAATGATGCTCTTTCTACCACTCTAGTACCCTTCTCCAGCCAGAAAATGGCAATGATCCAGGAGAAAAACAAGTGCCGGAACAGAGAGAAAGTAATGGTAAGAGAATTCTCCAAATCGGTGTGAGATCATTGAAGTTAAGAAAAATAAAAAGCCCATTGTACAGTAAGCACAAAGCAGAGCACACAACCCCCACGCTTCCTCTCAAGGGCAACGCTACCGAGAACTGGGCTTGGAGTCATACACTGATCAGAGAGAGCACGAGTCCTGCCGGAAAACGAGTCCAGCCAGGAAAGGTTGTCAGCTGTGCTGTCTGTGTCCACCCCGAAGGGAGCCAGAGACAAGCTCTGCGTTGTGCAGCGTCTGGCTGCAACACGCGGGACTGGATGTTGGTTAGAGTCTCTCCCACCTGAGGTACCCAACCAGGCTTGCTTCAGCGTGGCTGGACTTTCAGCAAACGCAGGCAATAGAGGAGCGGCTGCAATAGAGGAGAGCGATGTCACCTTGGGCACGGGAGTGAGCGGATCAGTGGTGAGATGCGGACACCTGGTGCTTAATCTATGTTTTGCCTTAAATTTTCTGGTGACCTCAGGAAAGCCATTTCCTTGCACACACCCAGTAAAATTCAAGAAGTGATTTCAGACACATTTGCCTCGTGATATGTCTTACAATGTACGCGATCTCCAGCATCACATTCAATGCTACAAATTGCTTTCCCTCCCAGAACATCTGCTGGAAACACCTCCGTCAGACTTGTACGATACAGGGGTGGGGGCTGGTTCCTCAGTGCCCCGTGCTATGGAGAGATGCTGATGTGCCCATTCGGTGCTAAGGGAGAAGCCATCCTTAGCGCCCTGCAGAAAGGTGGCTTACCCTCAGTTGCCCTTCAGACGGCACCATCATGGTGACGGACCCGTGTCCCTAAGGGGAACTGGCTCACCCCAGCTGGGTGCTGCTTACGGAGAGCTGCACGGAGCAGGGTCTGTAGAAATCTTCTCAGTTCAAATGGATTCACCCAGTACTTCAAGCCCCATTAAGGGGGACGCATACTAATATTTACAAGGGTGCTTCCTTGCTGGTGCTCCCTTTGTCAGCGCAGGACAGAGTGTACTGCATCCTCCGCAGAAAGCCTTAACCACGGGACTGTCTA